CCCCAAAACCCCAAAACCCCAAAACCCCACTCTGCATTAAAATAATAAACTTAAAATCACGATAAATGGATCCATCAGTTCCCTTCGGCTTCCTCTCCACATCCAAAAACCAACAATATTTTCCCAATCCCAGTCTTCCACAACAAGAAACCTCCAATCTTCCAAATCCCATAATCCAACCAATTCCAGATGATTCTAATTCAAGTAAAACACCTCAAAAATCACCTATTCGAAATTCCTAGATAACTCCACACTCCCAACTAATCATTCCTACCCTTATAAAGCCTCTATTCCCCTTACCTACCAACTATAATTCTAAGCTTCCTTTAATAGCCCTTAAAGCACATATATTATTACTTTTCTGAATTTAAATTATCTGTTCATAAATCATCCTTTAAAGCTTGATAACGATGGTTTAAAGCCAAGTTTATCCAGTATTGGTATTAACCCAAATAATTCTTGCTCCACAGAGTCTTCTTATCTCCTATTAACACTGAAAATCCAACTTTAAGCTCTTAAGTTTTTCAGAGATTTCTAAATGCGTATTTTACACCTTTAAACAACCAAAAATAAGATCGCTTAGCTAAAAATAAGGAATTTTGAAAATTTTGAGTCAAAAATAGGGGCTTGAAATCTTTAGACTGCCCTGAAGGAGTCGAAGAGCTCATGAGAACCTTCAGACACAAAGATTAGGACTCAGTTTTAAAGAAATTTCATATATTTTCAGTTAAAATATCGCTCATATAGATGCTTTGAATGAACTCCCGGAAATTGAAAGAAGAGCAAAGAGGTATCAAGCAGGTAAGCAGACTAAAATAAGTGAGATTTAGATACAGAAGAGACTGGAGATGGACCAGACATCTTGTGTGTTCACCCTGGAGGGAGAAAAATAGGTAGTTGAATAATGTAATTTTAGAAACAAATAATTCCCATTCTCCACTCCTCAGAAAATCTCAAGAGAGTCATTTGAACCATGCAGATAGAAATGAAATCTACAAGAGGATAATAAACGGAGAGGTTGAAGCAAATACCTCTATAGGTATTGGTTTGAGAGATAGAAAGCCTGGAAAGTAAATTATCGCTGAACTTTAGATAAAAATACACAAAAAAGAGATACCCAAAATATATACAACAGAAGGAATTACAAGGAACATGTTTGTAAATCAGGTAGATTTTGAAATTTAACCTATCCTTCACAGAAATTAGACGATGTAAACCGAAGAAGAATAATAGAGTAATTACTACGAAACCCGTAAATTCAAAAACAATTCAAAAGCATAAAGAAGTATCCAGTCCAAATTACTTAGCCAGAATGATTCATAACCAAACAAACTCCGCTAGTAAAACTTCCACTCCGGTCAGCAAAACCCAAAGTACCTCATTTAAAACACAAATCTACAACTCATGTGATAAAAACTCCCAAATCACTCCATCTCTTCATCCAAACCTATCCCAGTACCAAAAACATCTCCCCCACACCTCCATCCTCACAGACCCTCTCTCCAACAGTATTCCCTCTCCTCACCTCTACAGCCATCACCAAGACCAATCTCCCCACTCTCACTCCCTCAAGTCTTCCCTCCCAGTCTTAAACCCTCCACCCGGCCACCTCCAGACAGCCCCTTCCCCTGCCTCCCAATCAGCTTCAAAACCCATTATTCCCAAAAAGAAACGACTGAAGAGAGAAATCTCTTCAGGGCTTCAGCCTGGCAAATTCCAGAAGGAATTTGCCAGACTGAAGCAGAAGGGAGATCTCAAGTTCTTGCCGAAGCTTTTGGTCGATACTCCTTTCTGAGCTGAGAGAGTCAAGTTCAAAGACAGGTATAACGAAACTGATCCCAAGTGGGCACATAGGTTTGTGACTAAAGAGGACTTTTTGAGGAGAGAAGAAAGAAAAATAGCGGATAAGATACTGAGAAATGCCAAAATTGTGTATGATTATGTCGAGAAATCCCCATTTTATAAGGAGCTAAGTCAGAAGTATATTGATGAAAAGTTGCTTATCCAGAGTAATAATAAAGATAATAGTATGAATAAAGCAAGGCTGAAGATGAGAAGTATTAAAAGAAATGCTCTTAGCACAGGCTTCCCTAGTCTTGACAATATTTATACAAGTCTCAATCCTTATTATGTTCTTCAGGGCGAAGAAGATTCTACTCTAGTGTTTGAGAGTCGATTTGAGTCAGGAAATTTACGAAAAGTTGCTCAATTAAGCGAATTTGAATATGAACTTTATCTAAGAAATGATTATAACTCCCAGAACTACACTCAATGGTATTTTTTCAAATGAACAAACATTAAAGCAGGGGTTAAGTATACTTTCCATCTAAAGAATTTTCAAAAGCCAGATTCTCTCTACAACCAAGGAATGAAACCTCTGGTCTATTCTACCAAAAAGGTAGAAGAAGATGGTATAGGTTGGTACAGAGGTGGAGAGAATATATGATATTACCAGAATAGCACAAAGAAGAGCTCCTCTGGCTACATGTTTTCACTCTCATTTGAAATAGAATTTCCTTTCGATAATGATGAGGTTTACCTGTGCCATTCCTTCCCATTTACATACAGAGACTGCAAAGAACACCTTGAAGCCATCTGTGTTGATAATGAAGGACTTGGAAGGGTAAATATGAAATCGAAGATTAGGAAAACCGAGATGTGCAAGTCCCTTGCTGGTAACAGCCTGGACTTGGTCATTATCACAAACTTCAACTCCTCAGAGCTTGATATTTCCAAAAGAAAAGCTATTATAATCACAGGTCGAGTGCATCCAGGAGAGTCAAACTCTAGCTTTGTGGTGCAAGGCATCCTGGACTACCTTGTTAGCGATAACGAAGCCGCTAAACAATTAAGAAATAAGTACGTATTCAAGATAATCCCAATGCTAAATCCAGATGGAGTGATTCTTGGAAACTACAGGTGCTCTCTCAGTGGGCAGGACCTCAACCGTCAATGGATAGGCCCGACTTCAAGGATGTTCCCTGAAATTTACAATACTAAACTGATGTTCAAGAAGACCCTGGAAAGTAGACAAATCTTCTTATACATTGACTGTCATGGCCATTCTAGAAAATAAGAATATCTTCATGTATGGGTGAAAATCTAACGACCAAACTGACAAAACAATGAAGGTTTTCCCATATATGATGTCAGAAAGCAACGGATCATTCTCCTTCGATGACTGTAATTTCAACGTCCAAAAGGACCGAGAATCAACCGGAAGAGTCGTCGTTAACCGTGAATACAGCGTGAAAAATAGTTTTACCCTAGAGGCTTCTTTCTTCGGCCCAGATATAGGCAAATACAAAGGATGTCATTTCACTCCAGCTCATCTTCGTAATGTCGGAAAGTCCTTCTGAATAGCTCTCAACGAGTCTAGCACAGCAGATGTTGTAGACAGTGTGCTTGAAACTCTTAATAAAAAGAAGACCAAGAAAAATCTTGAATAGTCAGTACTTCCTATAGAATAAGTTTCAAATATTTTCAATTGCCAATCTATTTGGTGGGGTTTTGGGGTTTTGGGGTTTTGGGGTTTTGGGG